GACGGAGCTCCTATAGCATATATAGTTCATGCTATTTCTGATAAAAGACTAGCTAACATGACTGGTTAATTTAACACAGATTAGTGCCTACATCATTATACATTTAGTTTACCAATGCGTGAATTTCAAGTGAACGTTTGAATTATTGAAATAAAACGTCACGCCGTTATCGTACTGGTCAAATGAAATGGGTTTTATTTCCTCTTGTTCGGAACCTTGCAGACTAACTAACAATGCATTTTACAACCCACTTTTTTGTATCTTGCTGGACTTCTAGACTGAAATGTATGTAGTATGTAGAAATGTATGTACTTTCTAAGCCAGATGGTAAAGAATGATACAATGTAAGGCCTAAGTTCATTTTATTTTACCAACAAGGTACAGAACAGAAGAGTAGGACATACGACTTCGTGTTATTTCATTAGTCCAATAAGAGACAGAACAGTAGGACATAAAACTCCATTTCATTTCATTAGTCCAATAAGAGACAGAACAGTAGGACATAAAACTCTATTTCATTTCATTAGTCAAATAAGGTACAAAACGGTACGATATAAAACTCTATTTCATTAGTCCAATAAGGTACAGAACAGTAGGACATACGACAAAACAGTAGGACATTACGACTTCATGTCATTAGTCCAATAAGATACAGAACAGAAGGGTATAAAACTTCATTACATTTCATTAGTCCAATAAGATACAGAACAGAAGGATATAAAACTTCATTACATTTCATTAGTCCAATAAGATACAGAACAGAAGGATATAAAACTTCATTACATTTCATTAGTCCAATAAGATACAGAACAGAAGGGTATAAAACTTCATTACATTTCATTAGTCCAATAAGATACAGAACAGAAGGATATAAAACTTCATTACATTTCATTAGTCCAATAAGATACAGAACAGAAGGATATAAAACTTCATTACATTTCATTAGTCCAATAAGATACAGAACAGAAGGGTATAAAACTTCATTACATTTCATTAGTCCAATAAGATACAGAACAGAAGGGTATAAAACTCCATTTCATTAGCTCAATAAGATACAGAACAGAAGGGTATAAAACTTCATTACATTTCATTAGTCCAATAAGATACAGAACAGAAGGGTATAAAACTTCATTACATTTCATTAGTCCAATAAGATACAGAACAGAAGGGTATAAAACTTCATTACATTTCATTAGTCCAATAAGATACAGAACAGAAGGATATAAAACTTCATTACATTTCATTAGTCCAATAAGATACAGAACAGAAGGGTATAAAACTTCATTACATTTCATTAGTCCAATAAGATACAGAACAGAAGGATATAAAACTTCATTACATTTCATTTTACCAATGAAAAATAGTAAGATGTACCTAACTCCATTTCAATTCATTA